CTTGATAACTCATTTCTTTTTAGCACTGAATGATCTTCCATGGTCTGGATGGACCAGAGCTGGTTTATCTGTTCACCTACTGAAGGGCATCTTGGTTGCTTCCAGGTTTTGGCAACTATGATTAAAGCTGCTTTTAATATCCATGTGCAGGTTTTTGTGTGGAGGTACTTTTCAACTCCTTTGGGTTGATGCCACGAGCAAGATTGCTGGATTGTGTTTCAACAGGACGTTTAGTTTTGTAAGAAACAGCCAAACTGTATTCCGAAGTGGCTGTACCACTTTGCATTCCTACCAGCAGTGATGAGCGTTCCTGTGGCTCCACACCCTCACCAGCACTGGGTGTTAGTGACAGAATTTTGGCCATTCTGATAGGTGTGTAGTGGTATGTCATTGTTGTTTTAATTTTCATTTCCCTGATGACCTATGGATGTGGAGCATCTTTTCATGTGCTTACTTGCCATCTGTACCTCTGCTTTGGTGAGGTGTCTATTAAGGTCTTTGGCTAATTTTAAAATTCGGTTGTTTGTTTTGTTATGTTGAGTTTCAAGAGTTCTTTATATTTTTTGGATAACAATCCTTTATTAGATGTATCTTTTGCAAACATTTCCCCCGTCTATGGCTTGTCTTCTAATTCTCTTGATATTCTCTTTCCCAGAACAGAAGTTTTGAATTTCAATGAAGACCAGAGTATCAATTCTTTCTTTCATGGATCATGCCTTTGGTGTTGTACCTAAAAAGGAATCACCATACCTAAGGTTGTCCAGGTTTTCTCCTGTGGTATCTTGCAGGAATTTTATAGTTTTGCATTTTACATTTAGGTCTGTGATCCATTTTGAGTTAATTTTTGTGAAGGATATAAGGCCTGTGTCTAGATTCATTTCTTTTTGCACGTGGATGTGTGGTTGTTCCAGCACCATTTTTTGGAAAGACTTTCTTTGCTACACTGTATTGCCTTTGCTCCTTTGGCAAAGATCAGTTGACTATATTTGTGTGGGTCTAGTTCTGGGCTCTCTATTCTGTTCAATTGATCTATTTGCCTGTTCTTTTAGCAATACCACACTATCTTGATTAATGTAGCTTTATCGTAAGTATTGAAATTGAGTAGTGTCAGTCCTCCAACTTTGTTCTTCTCCTTCAATATTGTGTTGGTTATTCTGGGTCTTTTGCCTCTGCATATAAACATTACAATCAGGTTGTCAATATCCATGAAATAACCTGCTGGGATTTTGATTGAGATTGCACTGAATCTATGGATCAAGTTGGGAGGAACTGACATCTTGACAGTATGGAGTCTTCCTATCCATGAACATTGGATATCTCTCCATTTATTTAGTTTGGTTTTGTTCATCAGAGATTTGTAGTTTTTCTCACATAGGTCTTGAACATATTTTGTTAGATTTATACTTAAGTATTTCATTTTGGAGGGTACTAATGTAAAAGGTATTGTGTTTTTAATTTCAAATTCCACTTTTTCATTGCTGGTATATAGGAAAGTGATTGAACTTTGTATATTTATTTTGTATCCTTGCTATAATTTCTTATTAGTTTCAGGAGTGGTTTTGTCAGTTCTTTCAGATTTTCTATATAGATGATCATGTCATCTGCAAAGACAGCTTTATTTCTTCCTTCCCCATCTGTATACTTTTATTTCCTAATCTTATACCCCTATTTCTTTTTCTTGTCTTATTGCATTACCTAGAACTGCCGTACAATGTTGAAAAGGAGTGATGAGAAGGGACATGCCTGCCTTGTTCCTGACCTTAGTGTGAAAGCTTTGAGTTTCTCACCATTAAGTATGATGTCAGCTATAGGTTTTTTGTAGATATTCTTTATTGAGTTGAGGAAGTTCCCCTCTATTCCTAGTTTACTGAAAATTTTTATCATGAATGGATTTTGGATTTTGTCAAATGCTTTTTCTGCATCTATTGATAAGATCATGTGATTTTTCTGTTTTAGCCCATTGATGTGATGGATTACATTAATTGATTTTCGAATGTTGAACCACCTTTCCCACCTGTGATAAATTCCACTTGGTTGTTGTATATAATTTTTTTATACTTTTTTTTGGATTCAATTTGTTAATATTTTGTTGAAGATTTTTGCATCTATGTTCATGAGAGGTATTGGTCTGTAGTTTTCTTTTCTTGTAATGTCTTTGCCTGGTTTTGGTATTAGGATAATGTTGGCCTCATAGAATGAGTTAGGAAGTATTCTTTCTACTTCCATCCTCTGAAAGAGACTGGAGAAAACTGGTATAATTTCTTCCTTAAATGTTTGGTAGAATTCACTACTCAACCAATCTGGGCCTGAGGCTTTCTGTTTTGGAAGGTTATTAATTGTTGATTTAATTTCTTTAATAGATGTAGGTTATTCAGATTGTCTATTTCTTCTTGTGTGAGTTTTGGCAAATTGTATCTTTCAAGGAATTGGTATATTTCATCCAGGTTATCAAATTTGTGGGCATGAAGTTGTTCATAGTATGCCTTTTAATGTTCATGGGATCTGTAGTGGTAGCCTATTTTTCATTTCTGATGTTAGTAATTTGCTGTCTTTTTAAACTCTTTTTTGTAAACACTCTCAAACTTACAGAAAAGTTGCAAGTTACAGTACAAAAATTTTTTCCCCATTGAACCATTTCAGAGCAAACTGATGATGTAATGCCTTTCTCACAGATGTTCTAATGAGTATTTCCAATAAAAAAAGTTATTCCCTTACATAACCACAATACAACTATCAATATCAGGAAATTAACATTGATGTTTACTACCATCTAATCCTTCGACCCCCTTCAAATTTTGCCAATTCTCCCAATAATGCACTTTATATCAAAAGGATCTGGTTCAGCACATCTTCAATTTAGCTGTCAGGTCCCTTTAGTTTTCTTCAGTCTGGAACATTCCTCAGCCTTCCCTGGACTATCATGGGAAAGCCACTTTTGAAGATTACAGACCAGTTACTTAGTAGAATTTTCTTTACTTTGGGTTTGTCTGATTTTCCTCATGAACATATTCAGGCTATGCATCTTTGTAGTGAAAATCACAGAAGAAATGCTGTGTCTAATCATTGCATCCATCAGGCGTCACTTTTAAGTAGCCCCATTGCTGGTGATGGTCATTTTAATCACTTGATTGAGATGACATCTCTCAAGTTTATCCATTATATATTACTCTTTTCTCCTTCTAAGTTAGTATTCTGTGTGTACACACTTTGAAATTATGTAAGTAGCCTCATTAAACTTACCATTTACATATTCATTCCTTCCTTCCCGCTTTCCTTCACTCATTCATATCTGTATGGACTCACGGTCCAATAGCTTAATGGGCAATAATCTGTTATTATCATTATTTATTTTGATACTTAAATTCTCTCAAGTTTGGCCAGAGAAAGCCCCTGCAAGCTGGCTCTTGTGTCTCTGAGAACTTTCTTGCTTTCTGACACAACACAAGATTCCAGGTCCTCTGGTGCCTCCCTGCCCCAGCCCTGGGGTCGACTGTTTCTCCAAGGAGCCTGGTTCCTGTTAGTGGTGGCTCTTTTATTCTGAAATTTGAGATGCCAGCTCCAGTCAAACTGGCTGTGAGAGGGGCTGGAGGATCCTTCCTCACTCCTCAGGGAGGAGGCAGCCGCAATGTCACCTCTGTACTGGCTTCCTCTGGGGAGCCTTTCCCGGAGGGTCCTCCCTTTCTTCCCAAGCAGAGATCCCTCCCTGTCAGTTACCAAGGCCCTGCTTGTGCAGCCCTGCTGAGTTCCTTTTTCTTTTTTTTCGGTTGACTTTTTGAAAACCGCTTATCTATTCTGCTCAAATTAATCCCCAAATGTTGCTTTATCAAACCATTTGTTGTTGCAGCGGCTGTTGATTACAGATGTAGATCATTTCTCCCCCAGCCTTTTTAACGGGCCAGTCACTATGGTAACCATATTATGGAAAATTGCTTTGTCTCCTTAAAATACTCTTCAGAGAAAGGTCATTTGTTATTAACATTTTCCAACTAAAACCGGCGATGTAAGCAGTGTTAAGAACATTGTCACCACACACTATTCTTCTGTCTGTATGTTTTTAGTCATGTAATTTCAGGAAACTCCCAAAACAGGACTAAATATTGAGAACAGAAAGAGTCCTAATGCTACGACATATGCGCACGTGATTGTAAATTTGAAAAAATATATTTATTTTGGTTCTTGTGGTTGCAGGGCAAGCTTCATTGGCTCTTAATGGTGACATTTGCTGTTTCCCTGTTCCTGGTGTGGGTTTAGATGGAGAGAGGCACCCTGCTCTTGTCAGACCTGGAGGGTGCCTGGAGCTGATGGGAAAGATGATCCTGCGGTCAGGGTGGCTGCCAGGGGCTCCAGCTCCCACAGAGCTGTTCTGACAGGTGAGGGTGGGCAGACCAGCTAATTCTGGGCATTATAATAGATCCTGTGGTGGGTCAGATGGTAGAACATATTTTTGTTGTTGTCGTTGTGTTCCATTTAACCTCAGGATTTTGATGTAACATTTCATGGGCTGTGGGGTTTTGTTTCTTGGAATAAAAACCATTTGAGCTGTGTTCTGGTTGCTCAGATCTCTCACTCCTTCATTTTCCAGGGAAAGAAATGGAAGCCCAGAGGTGCCCAAGTCTCAAAGCCCATTTCTCTCCAGATGGTGCTGGAAGTTGCACCTCTACTCCTGCGCTGCCTCTTTCTTAAGAATTACCCTCCACAGATTTATCCACGAGCAGCGTTTAACGTGCAAATAATCCTGCGTGGTTTATAATGGAAAACAGCAGTGCCCTGCACCTTCCCTCCCACCCGTCCTGCTCCCAGAGGAGCCACTGCAGCTGCTTTGGTGGTGACTTGGGGACTTGCCTGCACGTTTCTAAACTGTCTCCTTGAGCAGCTCCTTAGATCCACTGAGCAGCTGTTTCACCGGCGCTTGCTCTGTGCCAGGCGCTCTTCAAAGTGCTTTCCGTGGTTGGACTCCTAATGTTCTCAGTGACCCAGTGGGGTGGTGCTCTCGTTAGCCCCATGAGAAAACTGAGGCAGAGAGTGGTTAAGTAGGTGGCCCAAACACCGTGAGTGAGAGGCGGAGATGAATTTGAACCCTGGTGTGTTGGCTCCCGCGTTCTTGATTGATCAGTTTGTCTATTGTGTATCGACTCACTGTCATGGAAGGTCAAGACTTCTCTCTCATGTCCTCCATTCGCACGTTTCCCTTCCCCCCATTTCCCCTCTGGATCACTAACTGCCACATTTGCGTGTGCACTCTCTCTGTCTCTGTGTCTCTGTCTCTCTGTCTGTCTCTGTTGGTCTTTGTCTCTGTCTCTGTCACTCTCTCTCTCACACACACATGCATGCACACACAATTCTTGGGTCATTTGAAAGTACTGCAGCATGTATTTCCTTGGAACAAGGACATTCTCCAACCTCAAGGTGCTAGTGTCATCCCCAACAAATCATAGACACCTCATATTCTGATTTACCCAATTGTCCCCAAAATATCTTTTACATATTTTATTCAGTCTGGAAACAATTAAGGATCACACATTGAAGATGTTTGTAATGTCTTTCTAATTTTCTTTATTCTAGAACAGTCCCCACTTCCCTTTTTGTCCTTTTCAAGTCATCAACACCAGGAGTCCAGGTGAGTTGTCGTGTGTGAAGTCCACACTGTGGATCGTCTAGTTATTTCTTCATGATTTGATTCAGCTCGTATATTTAGGCAAGACTGTTACACAGGTGACAGTGTGTACTTTCTGTTTCATTGCCTCAGGAGAGAATATCAATTCATTAAATTTAACAATTTGGTTAAGATAACTACCAGATTTCTCCAGTGTAAGTAGCTTTTCCTTCTCGAATTCGTGAGAAATCTGTGGATGATAAATTGTAGCTGTCTGACTATCCTGTTCCCAATGACCTTCACCCAAGGACTTCTGCTTATATCAGTTATGGTTGCAGAATGCTGATATTCTAATTCTACCATTCCTCCCACATTTATTAGCTGGCTTTCTTCTGTAAAGAATAACTTTATCTCTCTAGCCTTTTAAAAAAATTAATTCACTGTAGACTCAATTATTCTTTTTAATTCAATGTATTATAATCTATTACCTAAATTATTCTTTTTGATGATCAAATTGTTCCAAGTGCCACCGGTAGGAGCCTCTTCAATCAAGTTCGTGTATCTTTTTGACACACCGCGTTTGTCTTTAAGTGCATCTCTGCTTTCTGACATACAGGATGGTCCAAGCTCACTGAGCTCTTTCTCTGCCTCCGGCCTGGAATGAGCTACTTTTCTAAGGAGCCTTGGTTACTTTTCGTGGGGAGTGGCATTTATAAACAAAGTCCTGGGTACTAGGTGTGCTAATTGCTACTGGGGTGTCATTGCTTCTGGCCCTTTGAGCGGACAGAGCTGGAAGTTGTATATTCACACTGATCCTCCAGGTCAAGTCCTACACCACAGCATTGTTCCTCATCCCATGTGGCACTTCCCTTCTCTCAGGGTGAGACTCTGGACGGTGACGTATTTCCCTGCTTGCTCTTTGTTACAGCATGCACAGACTCCTTTCAGAATTACTGCCAACACCACAGCCAACAACAAACTTGTCAAGAGGAGTTCAAGATTTTTTTGCAGTAATTTTTGTCCTTAGAACATACTGCACAAAGTGTGACTAGTCAGAGAACTGGGTGAAAACTTCACTTGTATTAATTCTCCTTTCTGTGTGGTTGTGTTGTCCATTTGATACGCCATTAAGTTCACTTGTTTCTGTGACTTTCCAATTCCAAGATATGCCTTTTATCATCACATTTGAATCATCACGTTACTTTTCAAATATGTTAAGCTTTTACATGCTTGAAAGACAAAACTATATGAAAAAGTGTAGTCAGAGAATTCTTATTCCCATCCATACCCCTTTCATTTATTTCCCACCCACCTGCCTCTAGGGTAATAGTTTTTATTATTGCCTGATTTATCCTCCTGTGTATATATGTGTGTGTTTGTATTTGTATACATGTGTATGTATGTGTATATGTATATTTCTTATTTAACCTTCTTTTGTACACAAAAGGTAGTGTGCTATATATACTCTTTTGTATTTTGCTTTTTTAACTTAAAATATATACTGGAAGTCACTCTACATTAGTTTATAACATCTCCCTGTTTATAGCTGTATAATAACTTATGTGGCTGTACTATAGTTTATATAACTAGCTGCCTATGGAGGGCACTTGGGTAGTTCTACTTTCCAATTACAAATAACGTCACAGTGAATAACCTTGGCCACATATCTGTGAAGACGTATTTTTGAGAGCTGGTTCCTAGAAGTGGGATTTCTGAGTCAAAGGCAAGTGCATAGTTTTCTTAGCTATTGCCAAACCTCCCTCCAGAGGTGTGGCACTGTTTGGGATTCCTACCAACCGTGTACACAGTGCTTGCTTCCCCCACAGTCTTGCCAACAGAGGTGTGGTCTGGCTTTTGAGTTTTCTCCAATGTAACAAGTGAGATATACTTCCCTGCTATAGTTTTGATCTATATTTATGAGTGAGGCTGAACACCTCATGTGTTAAGGGCCATTTGTATATTGTTTTCTGTGTACTGTTTATGTGTTCTGTCCGGTTTTCTATTGGATTTTCAATCTTTCTTTTCCTCTAGTTTCGAGAGCATTTTATATATCAGGGAGAGTAGCCCTTTCTCTATGATAGATGTTGTACACTTTCTATCAGTTGTCTCTTATTATTCGACTTGGTTTGTGGTGTTTTTCAAAAGTTAAAAATTGTAGTCAAATTAATCAATCTTTGTTTTTATTGCATATTAGTTATAAGTTATGGTTTAAAAAGCTTTCCTCACATCCTTCTAATCCAGATTATAGAAAAATTCACCCACGTTTTCTTCTAGGAGTTTTTTGCATTCAGATTGCTGATCCGTGTGGTATATGATGTGAGGTATGGACCATTTCTACCTTTTTCACATGGCCATCCAACGATCACATCGTCCTTTCTTATGGCCAAGTCTATCTTTTCCCAGTGCTGTGCAATGTCACCTTTATCGTATGCTACATTCCCATATACACTTGGGTCTGCGCCCGCACTTTCCCGTCTGTCAATCTGCTCATTTGCCGGTACCATAGTTTCCATTACTGAGGCTTCTTAGAGTGTTTAATATCTGGCATGATGAATCCTCCCTCATTGCTCTTCTTATAGACTTTTTCCAGCTATTATCGCGTGCTTAGTTTTTCATTTAAACTTTAGAATCAACTTGTGTAAGTCCCGAATAAAAACTTACTGCGAATTTTATTTCAATTTTGTTAAATTTGTATATCATCTCTAAGAGAGTTGATGTTTTTATAATATTGAATTATCCTTTCTAAGAACAAGGGATGTTTTTGCACTTGTTCAAGTTGTTTTGTGTTTTTTAGGAGTGGTTTGAAATTATTTTCCTACGGGTTTTGCTTATTTTTTGGTAAGTTAATTCCTAAGTACTTTATCCTCTCTGTTGCTTTTGTAATAGTGAGTTTTTCTTCCATTATATTGTTTATTGTTTGGGTGGGTATATACACACACCCTATTTATTTTTGTAGGTTTATTTTACATTCTATTTTTTAAAATTCTTTTATTGTTTTTCTTATTTTTGTTATTGAGTCTCTTTGGTTTTCCAGGTATATTATACATATACATCATCTGCAAATAAAGTTTTCTTTCTTTCAAGATTTCTAGTCCTGTAATTGCTTTCCCTTATCTAATTGTATTCATTATATTTCCAATACAGTGTTAAATTGTAGGTGCGGATAGTGGGTATTCCTGCCTTGTTTCTGGCCTTAGTGGGAAATATCTCTGTTTTCCTATTAAGAAAGATGACAACTTAAAGATTGATTTTATGTATACATACATATATGTATCTATGTGTGTACATAGATATACATGTATACACGTGTGTCTATAGATATAGATAGATATATACATGTCAGTGTGTGGTTGTGTGTGTATTTAGAGAAGTTACCATGAATTCTTATTGAGTACTTTTTATCAGGAATTATAGTTGAATTTTGTAGAAAGCTTTTTTAGTACTATGGAGAAAATCATATAATCTTTTCTTTACAGCTATTATTAATACAGCAAATTATATTAATAAATTGTCTAATATTGATCCAGCCTTACATTCCTCGAACAAGTTCTACTTGGATATGATGTACTAATTTTTAATGTGTTTTTGGATTCTGTGTGCTAATATTTTTTTTAGGATTTTTTGTATTGCTAGTTATAGGAAATATGGGTCTATAGCTCTCTTTTTGGTGTTATCCTTATTGGTTGAGATGTCAATGTTATACTTGCTTCAAGAAAGAACTTGGAAGTCTGCTTCTTTCTTTGCTCTGCAACAATTTATATAACGTTGAGATCATCTTGTATCTGCTTAGTAACTTCCTGTGAAACCAATTACGTCTCGTCTCGTCCTTTTTTATGAGATGGTTCTTTGACGACCTTCTGTATTTCATCTGTGGAAGTAGGTCTGTTTAAGCTTTATGTTTTTATTTGGGTCAATTTTAGGAAATTGTATTTTCCTAGAAAATAGTTCATTTCATCTAGATTTTTAAATGAATCTGCATCAAGTTGTACACAATAGTTCTTACGAGTTTTTTATGTCCATCTTTTTCATGGTTATTTCTCTCTTGTCATTTCTTTTCTTTTTTTCTTTATTTTCTTGATTAGGCAAATTATAGAAGTCTCTATTTGCTCATTTCTTTGAACAGAAATAGCATTTTGATTTATTTAATAGTTTTATTTAATATTCTATTATATTCTATCAATAGTTCTGTTTAATATTTTTATAAATATTAAATAAATAATTTAATTTCTATGTCATATTTGCTTTTAGCCTTATTATTTTCTTCCTTCTGCTTTCTCTTGGTTTATTTTATAGTTATTTTTCCAGCTTTTTGAGAACTTAATTCCTTTATTTTTATTCTTTTATTCTACTGGTATAATTATTTAAGGTTACAAAATTTCCCTGATCACTGTTTTCATTGTATCCCATAGATTCTGAT